TGATTTCTCGATTGGTATAAATCCTAAAAAACTTTCATTTATTACAATTTCTGAATGTTCTTGAATGGTCCTGTGATTGAATAATATAAAAGGTACCTAATTATCATGGTCATCTGCTCAGTTTTACTAGCGTCTGGAGTACGATCTAAAATAATAGAATAATATAACGACGTAATGATAACTTCCATAATATAATATTTTATTCCAGTGTTCTATTTCTGATTTAATTATCCTCTGGGACACGGCGTTCGACACGATTTGAGCCTACGTGAAAGTTCTAACCAAGATTTTACTGCTTTTACATGGTCTCGTGATGTCTCAGGAGATTTAAGCATATCACCTACATGACTTCAATTTTTGTAGCCATCTTCAGATTGACCGGAAGTTATAGTTGTATTGAAGATTTTACAACAAAAGCAATACAATAAATTTTTTTGCCACAGAATATGCAAGCCAATCTCCTAAAAATTCTTCACCGTTATTAAGCTTTCTCTTATAGTATCTCGAAGTAAATCTCCGACCATTGATATCTTGTGGAAATTGAAATTCACACAGTGGGTCTGGAGAACCTATTTACTAAGTATATTATTTCTGTGTATGTTAATCTATTGCGCCACGTAGCTGGGTCGACATCTACAATAGATGTTAATTCTGTAGAAACACTTGAACTTGCAATAGCACCTTCACCTACAATAGCAGTTTCACCTGTCATAGCCTCTTCCCCTGTAATAGCACTTTCACCTGTAATAGGGCTTGACCCAGAAGTAGAAGCACCAGGTTCACAGATTATATTGGAGTCGGACGTATGTTTTTCTCGCGGTTTAAGTGGAATTTTTCGTTCGTTTCGTTTTTTATATTGATGTCTCGACAAGCGTGATCTACCGTCAGCCTTCCTGTACGGTAAAAAAATTATATGAAATAAATTTACATACCTCTTAAAACATTTTTAACATGTCTTGAGGTCAATATCAAATTAGGTGTGTTCAATATTACGTTTTTTCTTACGTATTACAATTTAATTTATAAAATAGATAGGTACTTACGTAGTAAATTCACATGCGCGCTTCAATATTTATATGATTAATTTTCCGCATAAAAGCACGTCACTTTCAAATTTAAGAATAGAACCAACTTGTAGGCTTAGCATATATATCACTTAAATGTATTAAACCTTTTAATTCTGTATTAGTTATTAACGGCTACATTGTTCTCGAATATGACGAAAATTTGTCTCTAGGGCAGAACATTTTTACTAGGTGTCTGTCAAATAAGTAATGAAAAATTAGTTTAATTGTTTGCTTATATATTATGTTTTAGGAATTTTTCTAAAATGTCTTGTTGTGTTGTGTGTGGGGAAATCCCCTCAAACATAAAATAGACTGAGAGTTGCCAGTTCAGAAATGTGAAATCGGCAGAAAATTCGGATGATTTTTTTGTATCCTAGTTTCTAAGTTCTAGTCTAGTTAGTTCCTTATTTCCCCTTTAGGTATTTCCTCTTCTCAGTGTTCCACAAAATTTCAAAAGTATCGACACTTTACTCGATACCAGTATCGTACCAGATTTATAGGTACTGGGAAAAAGGATCGATACTAAACTATCGACATTGATAGGTATCAAGTACTTTTCAATATATTTTTAAAACTTGCTTTTGAGTAATATCCGTAATATAAAATATTATCCGAGAAATTTCGGAGCTTAGAGTTCAGAACATATCACTACACCATCACAACACCTCCGTCTTACAGGGATACGAAAGTCGGTGTCTACTCGTAACGAAAATTTTGGCATAATCTTGCTAAACGGCAATTACTATCGCGTTATAATAGATACGTAATAGAGGTGTCATATATTCGGGAAGCACTATGTACATGTGCTGATATACGTGCATCTTGCGCTGCGAACTCAAAAACCATGTTCATGTCCACAACCTTTGACGAGCATTGAGCCTCTTCTTTTGCTTCTATCTTCGTAGTCTCTTCCTCCAACTCCAACTGAAACACATAATCGTCAACACCACTGTTTTCCGCTTCCATGGCCACCCGCAAACGTGATTGTAATTCCGACTTTACTCCATTTGTCACCGAACCACGTTTTTCCTACTCCTTTTCAATCTTCAAATCGTCAAACTCTGCCATTTTAAAACAATTCCCTCTTTGGGATTTCTCGATAAATCGTTTACCTTGTAACTCACTCTTGAGTTCGATACTTGGATTGTTAAATTCAAGTCCCAAATTAATGCTATACATTTATCTTTTTTTCTTATTCCAATAAATTTATTCGATCTTACAACTTCTAGAACTGTGTTTGCTGCGTAATCCGACAGCCCTTATATAGTAGATCTTTAACAAAACTTTGCCTCAAGAGCATTCTGGCAACTAGGAATTAACTGTCTAGTTGCTTCTGGCAATTTATCGTTGATTCGATTTTGTTATATCATTCATGTTCGTCACAATATATAGTCATAGATATACATATTGTAACGGATTTCTCGATAAATCGTCTACCTGTAACTCACTCTTGAGTTCGATCACTGGATTGTTAAATAAAAGTCCCAATTTAATGGCTACACACTTATCTTTTTTTCTTATTCCAATAAATTTATTCGATCTTACAACTTCTAGAACTGTGTTTGCTGCATAATCCGACAGCCCTTATATAGTAGATCTTTAACAAAACTTTGCCTCAAGAGCATTCTGGCAACTAGGAATTAACTGTGTAGTTGCTTCTGGCAATTTATCGTTGTGACGAACACGGATGATAGAACAAAATCGAATCGACGATAAATTGCCAGAAGCAACTAGACAGCGAATTCGTAGTCGCCAGAATGTTCTGGTAGTAAAGTAGTTAGCGAATTCGTAGTTGCCAGAATGTTCTAGAAGCAATGTTTTGTTACAGATTTACTATATAAGGGCTGCCGGATTGTGCAGCAGACACAGTACTAGTTAGAGTGTTGTCGTGATAAGAGCAATTAAGCTATAAGCAAGAAGTTGTAAGCTCGAATAACGAGCAATAAGTGTTAAGTTGTTGGAATTAGAAACAAAGATAAGTGTGTGGCCATTAAATTGGGACTTTTATTTAACAATCCAGTGATCGAACTCAAGAGTGAGTTACAGGTAGACGATTTATCGAGAAATCCGTTACAATTGGTGTCAGAAGTGGGATTGTCAAATAAATTCCCAAGGAGATAATTATTTAAAATTGACCAAGTTTAACGATCTGAAGATTCCACAACTGAAAAAGGAGCTGGAACAACGTGGTTTGGCGACAAATGGATTAAAAACTGAATTACAATCACGGTTGAGAGAGGCCATGGAGGCGGAAAACATTAATGTTGAGGAATATGTCTTTCACATGGAATTAGAAGAAGAGACAACAAAGATAGAAGAAAAGGAAGAGGCTCAATGCTCGTCAAAGATGGTGGACATGAACATGCTTTTTTCTGCAATATCGCAGATGTCAACGCAAATGTCGACACAATTTAAAAAGCAGGATACACGTATGTCTCAGATGTCAACGCAGTTAGAAACGCGATTGTCAACGCATTTGGAAGAGCAGTTCATAGCGCAAGATGCACGTATATCAGCGCAGGTGTCCTCACAGTTGAAAGAGCAGGATGCACGGATATCGCAGGTGACCTCACAAATAGCAGAAATGTCCTCACAGATATCGGAAGAACGAGATAAAATTAAAACTGAAATGGATGAATTGAGAGATCGTCTCCGTGAGCTACAAATAAATCGGCCAATTATGTCGTCAGCTTCTGCCAAAGTAAAACCTCCATCCTTTGATGGCACTGTTCCGTTCCACGTGTTTAAGCTTCAATTCGAAAAGACGGCATCTTCAAATAATTGGAACGCTGAAGACAAAGTAGCTGCATTGTTCGTTGCATTAAAAGGATCTGCAGCGGAGATATTACATTACCATTCCAAACTGCAAGGCGAGTAGTTATGAAACTTTGATGGGTGCATTAGAAAGGCAATATGGTTGTGAGCACAGGAAGCAGATCTTTCAAATCGAGTTGCGAAATCGCCGCCAGAAAGCCAATGAGTCTCTGCAGGAGTTTTCTACAGAGATTGAGAGGTTAGCTCACTTAGCTTATGCACATAAATCCGTGGAATACATCGAGGATATGAAAATTCAGACTTTCGTCAATTGAACACAAGATAACACTACACGCTTCGCTGCATTAGCATGTCCAAAATTGACGTTTGCAGAAACCGTTTCGTATGCTCTGACACAGGAAACTGCATCTCTGCTTTGCAATCAAACATTTAAAGCTCACAAAGTAGAAATAGAGGAACACACTTGGGTGAACCAATTACTTGAAAAAATGGACAACATGCAGAAAGCACTGGAAAAATCTAAGGAAGCGCATAGGAAAAATGATGGTGTGTTTAAATGCTTCAACTGCGGGAAAAGTGGCCATATTGCACGCAACTGTAATCAGTCCAATAGTCCAGTTGGACGTAAACGCAAAGTTGAGGAAGATCAAGGAAATATCAAATCAAACCAATCGTTAAACTAAAGCGAGCCAGCCAAAAAGAGCACGGGCTGGCTCCCGCAAGCAAATGCCCTGTAATCTCCATTTCACAAATAAGCAGGAATACGAGTAACGTTACCGTTAGTGGATGTGTAGACGGTAAAAAGCGCATACTGACTGTGGATACGGGCGCATCACATTCCATAATTCGATCTGATCTAGTTGAGAAGGCAGTGAGACCATTAGCTGGGGCAAAGTTGCGTACTGCAACTGGAGAAGATACCCTAGTTCTCGCACGTTACGAGATCGTAATTGGAAAGGCAGCCGTGTTACACAATTTTATAGTGGCAGACATCGTTGACGAAGTCATAATTAGAGTAGACTTTCTAGCGAATCAAGGAATCAAAATTGACATGGAAAACAGGATTATGTCCTATAGAAATATGGAAGTGCCACTTATGTTCGGTTACGATAATAAGTACAACGTCAGACGAGTGATAACAACAGAGAGCCAACAGATTCCACCAACATCAGAAGCAGTTATTTGGGCAGAAATAGATGGAGACTATGGGCCAAACAAGTGGTGGATTGTTGAGGCCACAAAAGAATCTACACCTAACTTACTTATTGGCAAAACCCTGGCTATGACAAGACAAGATAAACGTGTTCCAGTAAGAGTACTTAATGAGTGCAAGTTACCAATCAAACTCTCCAAAGGAGCTATATTAGGGCAGTGTCAAGAGATTGAGGCCGTGATAAATTGCGAAATACGTCTTGAGGAAGATTCCATGGACGAAAACGACATATCGAGCGAAATAAACGAATGGACCAAGGAACTAGAGGCAAACCATCGAATTATGGCTAAACAACTTCTTCTCAGATACTCATCCATATTTGATAAAGACGATGCCAAACCAGGAAGAACCAAAGTTGTGAAACATTTCATTAACACAGGTGATGCAAGACCAATCCGACAGGCTCCTCGAAGCGTTCCTTTAGCAAAACGTGAAGTTGTAAGCCAGACCATACGTGAAATGAGCGAAAGCGGCGTTATCGAACCATCAGAGAGTCCGTGGAGCTCACCTGTAGTACTTGTAAAAAAGAAAGATGGCAACATGAGATTTTGTGTGGACTATAGAAGGTTGAATGATGTAACAAAGAAAGACAGTTATCCACTACCTAGAATCGATGACACACTGGACTCGTTATCAGGCACAAAATGGTTCTCAACACTTGATTTGAAAAGTGGTTATTGGCAAGTGGAGGTAAACGAAGAAGACAAAGAAAAGACGGCTTTCAGCATTGGAGATGGTCTATGTCAATTTACCGTTATGCCCTTTGGATTATGTAACGCTCCTGCTACTTTTGAGAGACTTATGGAACAGGTATTAAAAGGATTACACTGGAAGACCTGTTTGGTATACCTCGACGATATCATCGTGTTGGGTAAAAGCTTCGATGAACACCTTAAGAACTTGGAAGAGGTTTTCCAACGGATAGCTAGCGCTGGTCTGAAGCTGAGTCCAAAGAAGTGTTCCCTTTTCAAAAGGGAAGTAAGCTACTTAGGACATAAAGTGACAACGGAGGGCATTTGCACAGCTAATGAAAAGATCGAGGCAGTCAGAGATTGGCCCAATCCTAAAAATTTACATGAATTGCGGAGTTTCCTTGGACTGTGTACTTATTATCGACGATTCGTTCCAAATTTTGCCAGCGTAGCTAATAGCCTCCATGAACTCACGAAAAAGAACAGAGTTTTTGAATGGAATCAAGAACAGGAAGTGGCTTTCCAAACTCTGAAGAAGCGATTAAGTACTGCGCCAATGTTAGCATACCCGGTTCCAGGATCAGCGTTTATTTTGGATACGGATGCTAGTGGATTTGCAGTAGGAGGCGTTCTATCACAAGTCATTGATGGGCATGAGAAAGTGGTTGCATATTACAGCCAGACAATAAGTAAGACGGAGAGAAATTATTGTGTTACTCGGACGGATTTACTGGCGTTGGTGAAGTGCATCAAACATTTTCATAAGTACCTTTATGGCCAGCGATTTCGGGTGAGAACAGATCATGCAGCATTAAAATGGCTTCTGCAATTCAGGAACCCAGAAGGACAGTTGGCACGTTGGATTGAAAGACTCCAAAGTTACGACTTCTCTATAGAACATCGCAAAGGTAGTAATCATGGAAATGCTGATGTCATAGATATACATATTGTAACGGATTTCTCGATAAATTGTCTACTTGTAACTCACTCTTTAGTTCGATCAGTAGATTGTTAAATAAAAGTCCCAATTTAATGCTATACATTTATCTTTTTTTCTAATTCCAACAACTTAACACTTATTGCTCGTTATTT